ACCCCTTCTCAGGATCACAGCTCTAGGTCTTCAAACTGGCTCAGAATAAACCATCTTATTTTATAGAGCCGGGTGCAGTGGCTCATGCCTGCAATCCCAGCACTTTGGGAGGCCAAAGAGAGAGGACTGTTTGAGTCCAGCCTAGGCCACACAATGAAACCTCGTCTCACCGGGGGGGAGGGAATTAGCCAGGCATGGTGGTGCATGACTATAGTCCCAGCCACTCCAGAGGCCGATGCAGGAGTATTGCCTGAGCCCAGCTTGAGGCTGTGGTGCTGTGATCATTTCATTGCACTCCAACCTGGGCAACAGAAACTCTGACTCTCTAATATTTTAATATCCTAACAGAGTTTGGCATCTTTTTGTCAATAGTGTGGGCTCCCACGTTTGGCTGATTAGTAAAATTTTTAGAGATGAGTTCTTGATACGTTACCCAGGCTGGTCTTGAATTCTTGGCCTCAAGTGACCCTCTCACTTCAGCTTCTCAAAGTGCTGGGATTACAGGCAGGAGCCACCATACCTGGCTCCACATTCCTATTTTTAATATTCCTAAAAAGTCAATTAAGAATTTTTTTTTTTTTTGAGTTGGAGTCTCACTCTGTCGCCCAGACTGGAGTGCAGTGGCCACTCCCGGCCACCGCAGCCTCGACCTGCTGGGCTCTGGCGATCCTTCTACCTCAGCCTTCCAAGTAGCCGGAATTACAGGCATGCGCTACCACGCCCGGCTGATTTTTTTGATTTATTGTAGAGATGAGGTCTTGCTGCCCAGGCGGGTCTCGAACACATGGGCTCAGGCAATCCACTCACCTCAGCCTCCCAAAGGCGCGGGATTACAGGCTGAGCCACCGAGCCCGGCTAAGAATTTTTAACAGCTTTACTCATGTTAGCCCCAACTAAAAATGACTCAAATGTCCATCAACAAGTGAATGGATAATAAAATTATATTTATACAGTAGAACGTTAACAACAAAAAAGGGGAATGATTCTTGGTCCTTGAGCTAACATGAATTTTAAAAATGTCCAGTGGATTGAAAATAAACAGAGGCAAATGATACATACCATATGATTCCATTTATATAAAGTTCTCAAGCAGGCACACTCAAAATACAGTGGCAGGGATCAGAACAGGAGTTGGAAAGTGATTGAAAAGGGAAGTCAAAGGGAGCAGTGGCTATATAGCTGTATACATTTGTTGAAACTCAAACAATACACCTAAAACCTATGTATTTACTGCATGTAAATTACACCCCAACTTTAAAAATTGCACACACATCAAGAAAGTCACAGGAATCTTATTTTCTGCTTCTAGGCTCCTGGGATAGAGGGAATGTTAACTTAAGTATCAAAGATAAGGTAAGAGTCTCACAAGAAATTATGATAAGAAATTGCCAGATAAGTTCATAAATTGTCAGATAATTCTAAGTGTAGACCTCCTAAGTCTGCAGAGCTTCATATAAAAAATTTTTAAAAAGTACTCTTAAAAACATCCACTGAAACTAGCAGATAACAAAATACTTATTTTATTGTTGTAAAATTAAAAATAGTAGACAAGCATATATAGTTACAGTTCCAATGCAGAGCAATACAAATATATAAATTATTGCAGTTTCCAAAGAAAATATAACAGCCAAATAATGTATAAATACTTTTTTGAAACAAACTTGGATTTTACCACAGCGGTTTCATTTTCTTTTTCCAAATGTCTTAGCACAATTTTGTAAAACAAATTGCTAACACCAGAGAGATTAAGTTCAATGACCACAGTAAGTGCTACTCATATTTAAAGCAAGGTTAATATGCACACACAATAAAAGTAGGAATGACGTTCAACAAAAGTCACAATGAATACTTTCTAAACTGCCTCTATGGGAAGCAGCAAAGAAGAAAAAAGCATTCTAGACATGTTTGAAAGAAGCAAGAAACACTAAAACTCCTTTTGCTTTAGGTGTATTTGAGGGAAGTTCAATCAACACTTTTTTGAGTGGAGGGCAATACTCATGCCCATTTTTTTCTTTGTTCCATTTTGGTAAGCTTAACATTGTGAAATAATTCAATATTATTAAAATGCATTCAATAATGTGGACTCTCAAACTACAAAGAATAGGGAAAACATGTTACAAACTGGCACTAAACAAAATCTTAACACTAGAGACTTGCTATAATATAGTTTTGAACAATGTAATTATAGGCAGAAGCTGCTTCATAGGTTAGACTGTACCATAGACACAGCAACTGTGAATGGATAACGTGAAATGAAAATACTGAGATGCAAGACAGAGCACTGATACTCCAAACACAGCATTACTGCCCTCTTCCAAGTACCTTTTCTTTGTGCCAGAGCCCTATTATCCTATTATTCTGATAAATAAACTCTCCCTGGCCCCATCATCACAAAACTTAACTTGGCAAGAATAAACTGTTGAGGGTTTCATCTATTACTACTCTTCACCACAAATTTCCTCAAATAATTACTCCTACCAACCTAAGTTAAAAATACAATCCTACCCAAAGCTAATTAATTAAAAAAACCAAAAACAACCCTAAAGTGAAATGAAATAAATTATCTTTGTTTTTACAGCCACATCTGAAAAGGTATTTAAAAAAATTTTGTAGCGTATTAAACTTAATAACATTTATCAGTAAATAAACTAACAAAAGTCAGAATAAAGGACACCATAAGAACTTTACACTGTACCATTTAAGTATTCATGTACATGTAACCTACTTTATGGTTACCAGCCTAAACCTCCTAACACGCTACACAAATAATTTATTCTTTAATCAATGAAATTTGACAAAAAGCAGATTTTTCCAAAACAAAACAAAATAAAATCCAAACTGGTAAACATCAAATCGCAAATAGGTTACAAACTTACTTTAAAAATACTAACAAAAATTGACTGACAAGCCTCAACAAAGTAAACACTACAGTAAAAAATATATAAACAACAAAAGAAACCATTTTCAGTGGCAAATATGAAAAAATGAAAAAACAAGAAATCTCAAGATGCCTGTCAAGATGCCACTAAAATAGAATATATTTTGACTATATTTCTGAAATCACTTTCTAACATTTTAAAAATAATGCTTAAATGTATATAAAAATGGGCACTTCGTGGTGAAATGAACACATATTTTGAAAAACTAAGAACATCTCTTTGCTCCAACACTGCATAGAAAACTAATAATGGAACAAAACATTGTTCTGCTGCCTGAATCATCTATTACTGGTGTTTCAAGTACATGGCCTTTTAAAGAGATGAATTTAGATATTAACATTAGCATCAAAGGATAGGGTGATAATCTCAAAGTAAATATAATTGATTTTTAGTTTAATTATAAGGCTGAACAGATTTAAAAACTCTAAAGAGAACAATCTTGGGTGGCTAAAATCACTTTTGACTTCTGATTTTGTAAACTCACGATAACTTGTCTAGTTATAGAGTCTAACATAAAAAAGATTAGTCTTATTTCGCTCCCTTGAGTCATGTAAGCTCTGAAAATGTTAGTAATGGCTGACGGGCAGCCTTTCTTTTGTCACTCTGAAACTGAAGCAGTACATGAGATTTTTCTTCCAACTTTCTCAAAAATTACAAACAACTGTACAGAGCAGCCGAGTATGGAAACCAGTATTTCATGTTCTCTCAAGCTGGAACCCAACTCTGTCCCTGATCCTTATTTTTGCATATAGAGTAGTTGCATATTCAATCAAGAAAACAGGAGTATATAATAAATTTACCAAATATTTGGATAAACAGCTGTGTAAAACACCTCAACAAAATTTTCCACTAAAAATTCATCCAAATAAAGTACTAGTGTGAATACCAGCAATGCAGATTTTTTTTTAAAGAGCACCTTTCCTTTGAAGAGCTTAAGAAGTATCTAAATGGAATAGACCAGTGTCCCCCAATTAAGACCTTAGTACATGCACAATCCCATCCAATTCTTCCTAACTGATTAGTAAAGCTACATATTTGTCAGAAAACTCCTTAAGAGATAAGTAAACACTTTCTTTGGATAACACTGTTGTATTTAGGACTGCACCATATGGCTCATATTCTGGAAATATGCTACCACTAATATCAAATGCAATACATCGCAAACTTTTATGACTGTCCCTAAGTCATCTAAACAAAAGTCCAAAATGTGTGTAAGCACACTGGTTGGTAACATTCTTACTGAATTATGCCAAGGAGGAATAAAATCAAATTCGAACATGTGACCATAAAAACTAAGCATTCAGATACTGGCATAATCAGCACAAGTAATTATCCAACCTTTAAGTTTGGATATTTTGATATTGCACGCATTCAATTTAAAGCTTATCAAACTAAGGCAATGCATCCCCACTTCCTGGACTTCAAATTCATTTTAGATGACTTAAAAAATTGAGAGAAATTGAAAGCATCTTTCTAAAACTCCCTCCAGAAAGCAATTATGTCATACTTGAAAGAAAAACAAAACAAAATCAATGGGATATCAATTAATACCTTCAGGTCAACTTAACACATCTTAGCATTCAAGACTAAATTCAAGCCAGGGTAGGCTGCCAAATTTAAGGCAAAAGTCATCCTTATCTTTATGCATGAAGCTGCCAAATTCCTGGGCTTTTCTGCCGATTCTTTCAAGCAAAGGTCTACCCAATAAATACATTTTAAATACCAAGCTGAAAACAGACTCTAGAGCCTATTTCAATTCTGCATTGGTTATAGCTTTTACTATAATACATCATTAAAACTTATCTAGCTGATTGAGACAATCTATTAGTTAAGAACTCTTTGGAAACATCATAGGCAACGTATAAGAACATCCTTTAAAATATGGGTTTATTTTTCTGAATTAGGAGTTTTGCTTTTCTTCTGTCAAGGAGTCTTCTCTTTCTTTCCCTTCAAATTTTAAAGTTTAGAAAAAAATACCTCACAATACTTTGAGTACTAATTTCAATGATGGTGACACACAATTTGGACAGTTTAAGTAGTCTTGAAACTTTACCCAATGTGGCATAGAAAATGCTTTTAATTTTTTCAAAGTTAGAACAATTTCAAAGTACATTTAATTTGACTTGGAAGTGAGGCTTGACTTAGTCCATCCAAATTCTAACAATCAACGTCATTAGTATGAAATGAATAATAAATGAAGTAGAAGGTTTCATTTCTACGGAGACAAGTTGACACACAAAATCTAGATTAACATTTTCTACCTGAACTTAGAACTTATTTTGTTACAAAAAAATAATATATTTTATTTACTTGAACACTTGCTTTAAAAAGCTATGAATTCCTCTTTTATAAGAGTTATTAGTAGTTAAAACAACTCAACAAGTCAATTTCTACTCCAAAATACATTTATCTTTGGAAAGCAAGATAACAGTTGTACAAACAGTATATTAAGAGAACAATGCAGTGACCTGAAATATGGGTGAACACATTCACACACGAAAGTGTAAATATACAGAGTCATTCAAATACATACTTATAAAGAGAATGACAAAGTACCTAAAATAGCATTTTTATATATAAAAATTTCATATTAAAATATTGCTCATAATAAATAAGAGGTGATATTATGAATTCCACTTCCCTCTTAAAAACTATCTTTAGTTGTTAAGACTAAGGAGTTTGTTAATCTGCTGTTGGCTTGAAAGGTGAATTACATTAAAATGTTTAATAAAATGACACTGCAACAGTAATATTTAAGTAGTCACATGTGATAAAAGTTAGGGAAGGGCATTTAGTACTTAGGGAAAAAAATTCCCAAAATGGACCAAAATGATTAACCCTAGAAGACTAGAGTATCATGATCTACCTTATTTGACAAAGATGTTGAATACTGCCTTAGGCTTTGCCAATTTAATGACCATTAAAAAAATGAACTATAACGTTCTTCAAACTTCTACAAAGTTTGCATGCCTTGCAGACCAATAAAGGGTAGGGCACACAAAGTAAGTGTAAGTTTAGCTCAGTTGTTTATGGGTAGGTGTGACTTCATTCCTGCTCGCCCCACTTGCAGACATGGCAATTTGGAATAGTTCTTGAGAAGCTGTTCGATGGCCACATGGCGGACATGAAGCTCGGAAGCCAAAGAATCTTTTTCTTGCACTTGATGTGTTAACTCTTCAAAAACTTCTGAAAGTTAAAAATTTCACTTTTTAGTACACAGAAAGTGAATACTTACATTTGTACTATGCTAACTGAAACAAATGCACTGAGTAAATTTTCACAACGAAATTGATTTGACACCAAGGAAATGGTTGTGTTACTCACATAGTCTATCAGTTCGGACCACCATAGGAAGTCTGAATTTTACCCAGCCAACTGGACTATCACATCCCTATTCTCCATCAAGTCAAAAGCAACGACTACAGCGATGCACAAGAAACAGTGGTTGCCGCTACAGTGGAGCCACTTTTCTCATTAGAGTCTATAAACAGTTCAATTAATATTTGATATGACTTATGGATAAGAAGTGCCCATTAGTATTTCGGTCTAGAAACCTGTCTAAGATGCTTTAGAATCAGACGACCGGGATTTTTGAATTCTTGCTCTGATTCTTATGAGTCTCAAGCAAGTAACTTATATTTTCTGTTTTAGTTTCCTCTTATGTATGACATTGATAATATTAGTAAACACTTTACAGGGTTACTATAAGAATTAAATGAGATCATACTTAAAAAGTACACAGAGTAAGTACTTGCTAAGTTTAAGTTGCAATTACTATTATTACTTATTATTTATACTATTCTAAGAGGCTGTGCAGTCAAGAAAGACTTTGGGGCCTGAATCCTTGATCTGCTACTGACTGGATGCAGGATCTTTGTAAGCAACTTAATGTCTCTTGAGTAGCAGTTTCCTCATTTAAATGGGAATTAACTGTAAAGAAAGAAAATGAAGCTGGGCTCGGTGGCTCAGCCTGTAATCCCGCGCCTTTGGGAGGCTGAGGTGAGTGAATTGCCTGAGCCCGCGGGTTCAAGACCCGCCTGGGTAGCGAGATCTCATCTCTACAATAAATCAAAAAAATCAGCCGGGCGTGGTAGCACATGCCTGTAATTCTGGCTACTTGGAAGGCTGAGGTGGAAGGATCGCCGGAGCCCAGCAGGTAGAGGCTGCGGTGGCCGGGAGCGGCCACTGCACTCCAGTCTGGGCGACAGAGTGAGACTCCAACTCAAAAAAACAAAAGAAAGAAAATGAGACAACTAGAGAATTTAAGTATTAACGGTTAGTGGTTGCATTATACTTGATGATGCTAAAGAATTACTAGTTTTTTTTTAAGGTGTAAAAAATAAGGTTGTGATTGTTTTTATGTTTCGTTTGTTTGTTTTTTGAGTTGAAGTCTCACTCTGTCACCCAGGCTGGAGTGCAGTGGTACGCTCACGGCCACCACAGCTTCAGCCCACTGGGCTCAGGCTATCCTTCCAAGTAGCTGGAACTACAGGAACGCACCAGCATTTCTGGCTAACTTTTTGATTTATTGTAGAGATGAGGTTTTGCCAAATTACCCAGGCTGGTCTTGAACCCTTGGACTCAGGCAATCTAGCCCCGGCCTCCCAAAGTGCTGGATTACAGGAATGAGTTGGGATTCTGAAAACCCCAACAGGTTCAAATATCTCATTTTCAAATTGAAATACAGATGAAGCCCATGGTACCCCATCATTAATGATTTTCTGCATCAAAATTTTCACATGCTAAAAGGCAGTGGAAGACTGATTCTTACCCTGGATTTGCTGTTGCAGCTTTGCATTCAGTTGCTCTACCTCACCAAGAGTCATCAAATTCACTGAAACATGAAAATATATTAACTGTCACCAAAACAACCTGGGAAAAGAAGCTGCTTACATCATTAGCACAATATTCCATTTTTAAAAATTTGCAATTATCTGACAAAATATAACATTCAGCAGCTCTCTAAGATTCATCTACTAGTGGTTTTAGTGTGGGGCAGAAGATTTCAAATTCTGACCACAAGTCACAGTCAAAAACATATTTTGGGTCACTGTTGGTATACTATCACCTTCCATTCCACGTGAAATTACCAAAAAATACTTAGCAGTAGGTCCAATGAATTGGGACATCTCCCACACTGTTTCAGTTTTCAAAAAGTGTTAGTTCCTATTCACTAAGTTGACTTTGATTAAGCTTATACAGTTTATGACCTGCAGTTTGAAAAATCAATTTGTCTATCTTATTATACAACCTTAGATGATTCACATGCAGAATCGAGAAGTTGTGTAAAAACATACCAGAGGTTCCTTCTGGCTCTAAAATCACTTGACTGCAAGTCAATTAAAATTACCTCAGCTTTTGAGTTGTTGTGAAATAAATGCAGACAGAATGAGTCACTTTTTCTAGCATTAAAATAAGTGCACATTATTACCTTTGTCCTTTAGTAAAATGTCAGATTTTTGCTTTTAAAATACCACCCCATCAATTAGTCTTGTAGGAATTAGCAACGTGACAATGTGTATTAGCCAATGGTCAAGGCTGTACTTCTAATCCATATGAGGCCTGAATTTTTCAATTCATAGTTTGCTGATTTCATCCAGTGTAATCATTTTAAATGGCAAAACAAACACGGGACTGCTAAACTTCAATGCTTAGGACATACTCAGGAGTATTCCAGAGAATGCATAGAGAATGCTAGGACATTTCATTTTGGTTAAGGTGAACCTGTCATTTAAATACTATGTTTATCAAATCTATTACTCTACATCAAAATTCTTGACATATCACATACACATAAAAAATGTGAAAAGAAACCCAAACCACCGAACTTTTACTTTTCCCCCCACTTTACTTACATTCCTCTTTGCTGTAATGTGGATGCTGGGTCTGGACATTAGCCTCTGGACTAGAGATTGTCTCTTCTTTTTTCTGTGCCTGGTTGTGACTACGAGACCACAATACACTGCTATGACACAAAGTGGCACCTGAATCTTGTAACATAGCAAGTCCAAAGTCTGTATTTTCCCTCTGCTCCAAAATTCTTTGTGTGCAGTTTGAAATGACACCTGTACTTCCACCTATCCATTTTGCAGAATACTTTGGTACTTGGGAGTCAAACTGCGGAAGTAGTTTTTTATCTGGTTTGTGCCTGAAATTAAACAGGTGATGCTGGGTGTTCTTAGAACATTCGGAATCTGAATCCAGATCCTTATTTTGTGCATACTGTACAATCCAGTTTATCTTCTTACTTAAAATGGTTTTAACTTCTTCATAAGTACTTTTTGAAAGCTTAGATCGAGGGCAACCTTGGTTTGCAATTAAATGGTATTTTTCAAAGCAGTCTTTATGGCCTCGTAATGATCTGGTGTGCAAGAGATTAGATTTTGGTACCCCTATAGAAAAAAAAAAAAAAACAACCAAAGTCTTGAGAAAATTTTGTTTTCTACAGGTCACCTTAAGAATATAAAAATCTTAGTAAATTTCAGAGTCCCTGACAGTTTGTAAATTCGAGGAAAAATGCTAAAGAATATCTGTATTTAAAAAAAAGAGTATCAGTATTAATAGAAAACATGGCCTAATAATTTCTGCTTCAATTTAACCATACATTCAGTAATAGTAAATTGTTATGAATAGCAAATCCTTTCTACAAACTTAATTATTCAATTTTAATCTTGGTCCAGAGACATATTATTGCACACAACATGAAAAAATACTACTAAACCCAGAAATTTACCTTTATGGATTCTTGGCCTTTACATTACAGTGTTTTCCTCACTATCCCCTAAAGCACACACTTGAAAAATTTCTATTATAAGGTTCAATGACAGAACTCGAGTTTTTTCTCCAGCAAAAACACAGTAAATTATGTTGTGAAATTATTAGTTATGGTTTTATTGGAGAAAGATAAACCAGAACCAGAAAAATACATACTGATAAAAGCCCTGAAAAGTCAATGATTTATGTTTTGTTTATATTTTTGTTTTTAAAAATGGAAGCATCTAACATTTTTCATATTTCCATTTTATACATACTAAAACTTCATCAAAGTAATTTTAAATTCTAGAAATAACAGATTACATACAATTATTTACCCTCTCCCTTGAGGCTGGAGTGTAGTGGCACAATCACAGCTCACTGCAACTTCGACCTCCTGGGCCCAGGCAATCCTTCTACCTCAGCCTCCCAAAGTCCTGGGATTACAGGTGTGAACCACCATGCCCAGCCTAATTATTTTTCCTATAGCAATAAACTCAATCTGCCAAGATACAAGAGCCAGTATAATTCCTCAACTCACTATTCACTATGTATTTTAAGCAGTGGAAAAAAATTCATATTACACTTTTATATTTCCTAACTTCTCAGTAGAGCTTAAGTATGCTACCTCAATTGTTTTTTAAACTGTAGAACATTTTCAAAAATATATAATACATTTCAAAATACAGAATACATTCATACATTCAAACTCTATTATTAAAGTCAAATAGCACTGCTTTTATATTGAAGGTGAATCAGGGAAGTAGAGCTGAAAATTTAGGCCTGCCAGAACTAACTAGTCTAAATCTGCTTAGCTTTTTAAACAAAGTCAGTCAGGTATTAGGTTAAAAAATTTTTTTTAGCTGATTCAACAGAAAAAAATACATTCTTCATTTAACCTTTGCTTTAAAAATTGAAATCAGCAACTTTAACAAGCTCTGGCTAATAGTAAGATAATGAAGTACCTGTACCTTAATGGTGTGAAATTCAGTATTAATGTACTTGGTAATATTAATTGTTCACCCCCCCCCAAAAAGCCATAGCATCAGTCAATGGTGGGACTTGGCAAGATCACCAAAATCAAGTGTTAAATCGATTATCAATTCCTTCAAAAGTTACTATAAGCTATGTGAGCATATTTCTAGAACACCAATATTGTAAACATATGTGAACAACTGTTCTCATGAGTTAAACTCAAATATCTAAGCCTTGTTTCTTCCACTAAGCACAAAGTTTGTTTGAAACAAACACAATGTCTCACTCTGTCACTCAGACTGGGGTGCAGTGGCGCATTCATGGCTCACGGCAGTCTCGGCCTCTTGGGCTCAGGTGATCCTTCCACCTCAGCCTCTCAAGCAACTGGGACTACAGGTGTGTGCCATCACGCCTGGATAATTTTTTATTTTTTGTAGTGGAGATCGCACTATGCTGCTTAGGCTGGTCTCGAACTCCTGGGCTCAAGCAATCCTCCTGCCTCAGCCTCCCAAAGTGCTGGGATTATACGCCTGAGTCACCTTGCGCAGCCTTCACATACATGTATCATTTTGCTACTTGTACTGCAACTGTGCATATGTATATATTTCGACCAGCTATTGTCTGATTGGGTCAAATTTTCACCAATATTAGGATACTTAAATGTGAATCTCAAAGGTTCACATGATTAACAGACCATCTTCAAGGCTGGGTAAATTAACATAAAAGAAGTTCATAAGCCTTCCTTATTAAAACAAAAATATCAAAAGCTTCATTACATGTTTTCATCATAAATAAGACAAAAAGATAGTTACCACAAGTTATATGCCAAATAAAAAGTTTCATTCTGCTGATTGATTCCAATACATACTTTCCTGGAGAACACAGGGAGGCAGAGAGAACTTGCAACCTGCTTACTTTACTAACTGAAAAATTTATTCAAGAGCTTCCCTATTCTCTACAAACTCTTTGAGGTATTCTTGCCAAAAGATGGCTAGCTAGTCCCTCAAAAGAGTAAATAGTCTCCTTCTCAGTCTACTGCCACAGCTCTGATAAACGTAGCAATGATACAGCTAAATCTGAATACACTAAATTTTAAGTTTCTCCTTCAATTTGTATGAAAGGAAATACTTTACCATATAAAAAAGTTCTAAACTAGGCTAGAGAAAGTAGTTAACATTTACTGTTAAATTTTGTGGATTTTTTAGTACTTATAAAGAAACCTCAGAAGCTGTACTGAACCAAGATAAAAAAATTATATAAAACAATGAATTTCCTAATGTACTCTAACATTTCAACAATAGGTCAATATAATAGATATTCAAAAAATGTGAAATTTTAAAGTTAAATATCTTTTAATACAATGTTTCTTCTACATGATTCCTTCTCCAGAAATAATTTTTTAATCTTTACTTAAATCCCCAAATCAACAATAGGAATCAAGATAAGCACAAGATTATATGCATAAGTAATCTGCTGAGATAAACAGCAGATCACAGAACTTACAACACTCAATTTACTGTGAAAATACATCAATGCAAAGTAAATTTCAATTTCAGACATTCAGGTAAAAAATACCCTATAAAAGACATTTAAAAAGTGTCATGGGCAAGAAGAGTTCTGAATACATATCTAGTATAGCCTTCCACTGGACATTTCCACCAAAATGTCCTTATGGGCTCCTCAGACTCCCCTTGACTACCCAAACTCCTTTCCCTCACTCTCATCACTCAAGTCACAAACCCTTTTTTCTTCACTGAATCAGCTCAAGGAAGAAACCTGAGTGCCCTTCTTGAAAGCGCCTCACCCCCCTCCCCCCAGTCCCAGATGTTTTGCTGTCCATCTTCTTTTTTTTTTTTTGAGTTGGAGTCTCACTCGGTCACCCAGACAGGAGTGCAGTGGCTGCTCCTGGCCACCGCGGCCTCAACCTGCTGGGCTCCGGCGATCCTTCCGCCTCAGCCTTCTGAGTAGCCGGAACTACAGGCGCGCGCGCTACCACACTCAGCTGATTTCTTGATGTATTGTAGAGATGAGGTCTCGCTGCCCAGGCGGGTCTCGAACCAGCGGGCTTAGGCAATCCACTCACCTCAGCCTCCCAAAGGCGCGGGGTTATAGGCTGAGCCACCGAGCTCGGCTTGCTGTCCATCTCAATAGATCTCTTTTCTCCCACAAAATCTGGCACCTACAACATCTTAAATATTTCTGCTTTACTCCGGTATCACTCCCACTACAAATGTGGGTTGTCATCATCACCACCATCAACACCACCTTCTGTCTCATTTTCTCAAAGAAGTCTTCTCTAACCAATACATCTGGGTTAGTTACTACACCAGATTTTTCAATTGCTTCTTTGCTACTGGTATCTCCTGATGGAATCTAAGTTTGGTGAAAAAGGTCATATATCAGAAAAGTAAAGACTCCATAAAAGGAATCTTACTCATACATCTTCAGTGTTATAATGCCCGGCACATAGTAGGTACTCAAGAAAAAATAGTTAAATGCACAGATAAATTAAAACTACATTAAAAACAAAAACAAACCAGTTATCATCCAAGATCTACTGCAATGCAGTTTTGCCTATCCTAGCAAGGGAATCAGGATGTGAAGTTCTGTCAGGCTGCTCAGAGGATAATTAAAGGCATCTTTCAGTGAATACTCCTATATTTGGTGTAACAGGCTGTTAGTTTAAGAAACTGATAATGGCACTGATACAGAAACGGCTTTCCTGTGGCATCATTCAATCAGCCAAGGAAGATAATAAATTTCTACTCAGTTATTTTTTTTAAATAGACATTTACATACAGTAAATATATAAGAAGGCTGTTTGATATAAACTGTACCATCTAGATCTGTACCTCCACTTTCTTTAGCTAAACTTTTAAAACCTGATTGAGTGTTTTAAAATTCCATTTGAGATATTTTTACAAATATACTTTATAATATCCCTTACAGTACCTGATCTCAAACCAGACAAAGTGAGGACAAAAGGCCTAAACTTTAACTGTATAATGTACACTCGTATACCTAATCCTGAATTGTACCCACACATCGTTAAAAAAGAAAAAACCACTTACAATAGCAGAGAAAAGAAAAAAATTATACACTGACTTCACACATCTGAAAAAATTACTTTTTAAAACAAAAAAGAATGAATAGACCACTAAATTTGTATCACACTATGCATGTCATTTTATAAAATCTTGAAGTGTTTATGTTTTTTCCACCTCATCAGTTCAAATTAATATAGGAGGAACAACCATTGTTATTATCAGAGATCTCAGTGAGTTTCCTAACCGACTTTTCAGTTTTTTTTTCTTTTTTTGAGTTGGAGTCTCACTCTGTCGCCCAGACTGGAGTGCAGTGGCCGCTCCTGGCCACCACAGCCTCAACCTGCTGGGTTCCAGTGATCCTTCCCCCTCAGCCTTCCAAGTAGCTGGAATTATAGGCACGCTACCACACCCGGCTAATTTTTTTATTTATTGTAGAGATGAGGTCTCACCAAGTTGCCCAGGTGGGTCTTGAACCCAAGGGGTCAGGCGATCCACTCACCTCAGCCTCCCAAGGCGCGGGATTACAGGCTGAGCCACCAAGCCCTGCTGACTTTTCAGTTTTAATTGCATTTATAAGTGTAAACAGCTCTGAGAATTAATTTGTGTCCTAAGTAGTT